TAACTTTTAGGTGTGGTGTTAGATAGTCATCTAGTTTCTTATTTTTTCTATACTTTTTATTGTTCATACGTGACAGTGTTTTCTCAACACCTTCTATTGAAGAGACTTTCCTTGCTTCATTGTATGTTGTTGATGCTTATGTCATACACAAGTTTTCCAAATATTTGTCAATGCATTTGTGGGCCTACAATTCTAAGCTCTGTGTCTGTTTTTATTCTGAAACCATGCTGTATGATTTCTGCTACTTGTAGTATAATTTGAAACTGGGGAGAAGATCAACATTTTTATTTCTCTAGAATGTTTTTGCTATTCAGGGTCTTTTATAGCTCCAAAGGACATTTTCTGAGAGGATACAGTTGGGGTTACAATTACAGAAATTGCTTTGAATCTATATATTGCTTTGGTAACATAGGCATTAATGATGTTAAATCTCCCATTCCATGACCATGCCTATCATTTCCTTTCCTTTTTCTGTTCTATTTTTTTAACAGTATCCTATAGTTTTCAATGTACAAGTCCTACACTTCTGAGCTTAAAATTTATATTCAGGTATTTAATTTTTTCTTATGATTATAAATGGGATTATTTTCCAGATGCTCTCCCAATCCATTACTTGCATATTTAGGTTTTTGAATATGAGTGTGTCATGCTACTTACTATTTCCAATAGCTTTTTTACTGTCATCTGCAAATAGTAATCATCTTTTTTTTGATACTATTTTAAAAACCTTTTCTTGTCCAGTATCACACTGGGGGTTTTAATAAGAGTAATTGGACAACAGTGATAAGTGAATATCTTCTTCCTGATCATAAAAGCTTTCAGCTTTGTTTAATGGATTATGATGTTGGCCTTGGGCTTGTCATATATAGCCTTTAAATTGGGTTGATTAGTTGAGACACAATGTTGAGATATAGTCCTTTAAAAAAAAAATTTATGATACAAGAAGTGGGGAGTATAGGCCAGAGGTGCAGTGGGTGTGAGAGGATTCACCAGATACAGTGGGGAGCAGAACAGGCAGATTGAGTGAAACCCACGGCTGAGGGGAGTGGGTGAGACAGGAAAGGTCTGCTGTGATAAGTGGGTAGCTCCCAGGGAGGGGATAAAACTCAGGCTGTGGTGGCTGCCATTACTTTCATAGTATTGAGGCTAACACCTTTGCACCACCAGAGGAGGCCTGGTACAGTCCTTCTCTAACCATTTTGTTAAGTGTTTTGATCACAAAAGGATATTGATTCCTGTCAAATGCCTTTCTGTACCTATTGATGTGATCGTGTAATTCTTTTTTAAAAAAAATTTTATTTTGCATACAGAAATGGGGTACAGGCCAGAGGTGCAGGGGCGGCAAGAGGATTCACCAGAGACAGAGTGGGGAGAACAGGCAGATTAACTGTTGAGGGGAGCAACAGGTGAGACAGGAGTGTCTCCTGTGCCATGTGGGTCACCTCTGGGCGGGGATCAAACTCACACTGAAGTGGCCACAGCTTGGCTTAGCTTCCAGTGCAGCGTTCCAACCCACTGTGCCACTTGGGAGGGGTTGATCATATAATTCTTGGTCAACCTTTTGTTGATGTGGTATGACATTTATTGATTTTTGTTGAATTCACTATGCTTGCATCTTATAGTCCCATTTAATCATGGTGAATGATTCTTTCTCTATGTCTTGTTGAATTTGGTTTGCTACTGTTGGGTGGTTGAGGAATTTTGCATCTATGCTCATCAGAGCCAGTGTTGTGTGGGGGTGTGTGTGTGTTATGTTCCTGTCTGTTTTTAGAATCAGGGTACTGTTGGCTACAAAAAACTGTGGAATTTCACTCACTTTTCCAATCTGCTGTCACCACCATGCTGTGCAGGGCAAGGCGTGAGGGATGGGGTGGGGGTGGGGCAGCAGTGTCTGGTAGGTAAGCCTGGTCATGCGCTAACCCTCTGGGGTCCATGATCTGAGACGCCACAGAATCTATCCTTTAAGATGGACTTCAAGGGGTTGGTACAGATTCGGCGGGACAGGGTTAGAGCCCATTTCCTTGCCAAAGTTCTAGCCTGTGTGAGCCGCCCCAGCTTCTCTGCTTTAGGCTTCACTTGGGCCACAGGTATGTGCCTGCACCCATCTCCACTCTCCCTCATCGCCCTGGCCCCTGACTGTGCTCATGGTCCTGCCATCTCCGGCCTCCACGCACTGCTTCGTGTGTCTCTCCACCAAGTGCCGTCAGTCACGCCAACCTGATGAGGATCTCCTTGGAATTCTTTCTAATGAGGTTGTTATGGTCTCTTGAGTGCAGGGGTGCACCACCATTAAGGGGGTTTCTCAGTAGTATGCAATTCCTAGGTCACTGTTTATCCTTGTGGAGTTGAGCCTTCTTGGTGAAAATTGCCCACTGAAAATCTCCGTTTTCTCTGCTCCCTCAAAGTGGTTTATAGTAAGAACATGTCTTTTACCCAAAAAACCATAAACTTACTTTATGGTTTCTCCTATTTGGGACCAGAATATTCAAATATATTTTTTTATCAACAGCAAAAAACACTCCATTTAAACTGAAATGAAAAATGTGGAGTATTTAAATGTAAAATGGATACTAAGGCAAAGTCCTTGTGCCATTTTCTAACCTCAGCCGAATTGGACTGAAGATTAATCAGGAGGAGAATGGTTTAGGAAGTTACACACACACACACACACACACACACACACACAACCTTTGGCCTCTTAACTCATGTTGTGAAGACACACACACCCACCCACCCCTTGGCCTCTAACTCACACACACACACACCCCTTGGCCTCTAACTCATGTTGTGAAGACTCTGGATAAACAGCCTAATCTGTTTCTGTATCAGTTAGTTCAGCTGCAAAAATATGTTCCTATTCCACTATTTTTTCATAAAAACTCACCTGTGGAGGCTAACTGAAAATGTAAGTCAGTACTACAGGTTCTCTTCGTGAACACAGATTCTAACTTCTTACCTACTAGTATTACCTCCAGTGTAGTCTCTCCCTTAAGAATTCTGAGCTTTCAGACAGTGAATTTAGACTATGATATATATGAAAACTACAGGAGCACTTGAAAGAGATTTTAATTTGCTGTTCTGGAAGAATTCTTGTAATTCTTAGACAAAAATCCTAGAAAAAGAACTACTAGTCTTCTGATCTAATACTGATATTTAAAAATAATTACATCTTTGGAAAATAAGGTGGTATTATTTATTCATGTCATATTTACATACTTACAAAACTGGTTTTATCCAATACATCATCCTGCATAGTACCTTAAAAATGAATTTTGGGAGTAAAAGTCCGAGTGTCATATTAATTTATGCATAATCTATTATCTTTCAAAGACAGAATACTATAAATTTGGCTTCATAGAACACAAATTCATGTTTAGAATTTTTTCTAGTCAAGGAATAAAGTAAATTCAACAGTCCTCTAGGTGACCCTGAGTATATTACTAATTTGCATAGTTATGAATACATGTACATAATAAACTTTCATTAGTACTCATATCTACTTAAAATTACTATCATACAGCATTTGATCTGTCCCAATTTTCTAAATTGAGAAAAAAATGGAATAAAGAATGTGGAAGAAATAATGGTAAGAATCTCAGGGGAGAAACTACTGGCAATGGCAGAAAGCTTTCTGACTTCAGAAAAACCGGAGCACCTTCTGGCCACATAACCTGTTAAGTTAGTGTTCCTGGATTTCTCCTATTCTTTCACACTCCTCAATTAAAAAAAAAAATGTAGAAATGTAGGCAATTCAGTACATTCTTCCTGAAGTACTTCAGAAAAAGAAAAAAAATGACAAACAGTGGTTCAGATTTTCTTAAGATGCTTAAAGAACAAAAAAGCAAACAGCCCACAGTGTGACTCACCCTAAAAGCTGTTCATGTGGGCTTCATGGACATGAGCGGGGAAAGAACTAGGGGTCACTGGAAGGCTGCTTCAGGGAACATGCCCTAGACTTACGAATCTTACACCAAACAAACGAACACTGAAAAATGGCCCGGGTTGGAGCTGCCTTGGAAGCATAATATTCCTTTCTCGCCCCTTGTACAGCAGAGAAATCTGAGGATAAAAAATAAACAAGAGGTTGAGAGCTGAGTATGTGGAGTCAGTTAAGCTCTGATGCCTTTCAAAGATAGCTCTTGGCCAGGAAAACAGGGAGGCCAGAGCCAGACCTGTGTTTATCCTTTCCATCTGCCCTTCCCTGATCCCTTCATTCACACTGGCAGAGAGCAGAAGGCTTTGCCACATGACCGGGTGCAGGGCAGTGATCCGGCTAGAGCAGGCCAGAGAAGAGCTGTCACGGCTATTCAGGGAAGCTAGGAAAGAAAATGCCATCTAACGGGATGTCCATGCCTGTGAGTCTGTGAAAACCATCCTCAAAACAAGATACTTGAGACTTGGTAACAAAATGAAAACTGAACCTCTACTATTTTTAGGATCTGTAAAATTTACTTATACCGGGGGAGCAGAAATAGTAAGCACGGGTAAACTTCTTTCAGTCCTTAACTGAGGTCTGTCTTGGGTCACTGCTATGCGAAAGGGCTCCCCTTTCTTAATTAATAGTCTGTTAGGTAGGGAAGGAACAGAAGTCAGTGGCAGAGAAAGGCTTTCTGTAGTGTTCTGATGTTAGTCAACAGGGTCGTCTGTGCTTCCTGCTTTACCTGGCTTCATCTTCCTTCTCTCAGTACACTGAATGACAACAAAATCTGATTTCTACGAAAAATCATTATATAACACTTAGACTTTAGCATATACTATATTTGTGAAATTAATATATTTTTACCCAAGGTAGAGTATAACAGAAAGAAATCAGAGTATTTTAAATAATGATAAAAGTACACATTGCATATATTGACATTGAAGTTTCAACACATTTTATAAAACTGCCAGAGATTGTGCTAATTCTTTTATCTCATTATATAGACAAGTAAACAAAAATTAAATTACAAGTATACAAGAAACTACTTAAAAAGTTACTAGAACTTGCAAATATAGTTCAATAGGTTTTCTTATGTTATTGAATTTTGATTTCTATAAATCCAAAATGGTAAAACATATTACCTAGGGGAAACAAAAGCCTTCACTAAATAAAAACATAATGGATTACATAAACCAGATCAAATATAAAATTTTCTTTAAAAACATTCACAAAACGTAAAGGCAGAATGGCACGAGGTTAGCAATGCAGTGTTTGCAATGAAATAAGATGTAATCTATCATTTAAGAAATGAAATAATTTCCTTTGAAAACATTGTGTTACAGTTGGGAGAATCTAAGTAGTGGATGTTGTCAGAGTTTTACTTAGCAAGTACTCAACAGTACATAAAAATAAAAACATGCTTCCAATTTAATATATGTTGGAAGCATATGGCCACTTAGCTGTGAAATAACAATGAAAAAATAATGTACTACCCAATTTTTATAAAGTATCTTTCAAGTGACGTGTACCTGGTGACCTAAAGAACATATGAATTCCATTGTTTTGGCCCATGTTTAACAAATGCACCAAATGTAGGTGCTTTGGGTGAATTGTTGAGCGCACAGTTCAGCTTTAGACCTGAGATTATGTGCACCCCACAAACCTTCAAAAGCTGACAGGAAAGAGATGAATTAAAAAAAAAAAAGATCAAGTACATATCATTAAGTTAAATGTCTAGCACATGAATTTGTATGTTATAAATTTGGTAAATCAGTTTGTATTATAAAAATATTTTCTTCTTTGAGAACCTATGGTACATGAAATTGTGATGCTAACACCGGGTCTTGGCAAGTAAGAAAAACTGCTGGGCTCACTGAAGTGACCCGACGTAGAAGGTTCTGTCTGTCGCCCAGCGCGGGGGTCTCGGCCGAGTGGCTGCTCACAGGGGCCGGGGCGGCAGGCGCTGCCGGTACATGCCGGCGAGGGCTTTCGCTGCACTGTAGATCATCTGCCGGCGAGACATGCCGGTGAAAGTCATGTGCCAGTCAGTCCGGCTGACATTGACCAAACTCTTTTCCAAGACTTCGCCCACGGTCACCAAAAGGCCCGACCACCTCAGATTGTAGTCCTGCGGAGTCAGACTCTGAGCCTGTGGGGAACAAAATTGATCACACTTAAAACACATTGCAAAGTATCACTGTGCATGACAATATTTTAAAATGGGATAAGCCCAGAGAAATGCAGGTATGCTGCCAATTACATGAAGTTACAAGGCTATAAAGGGAAACAAAGGGACACAAAATGTCTTTAAAAATGTACTTAAAATATACTGTAAATCTTGAATCTCATGCTCCACCTAACGAAGCTCAGTGTGAGAGAAGCATCAGAATCAGCTGAGGTTAGTAATACTGGCCCCAAAATAGAAGTATCACTGACATCCTTTAACTTTGTAAAATTCCTACTGGAAGGGAAACTGAATGATTAAGGCTTCAAACATTGAGGGAGGAAGAAAAAAACCCTGTTCAAATAGTTTTATAAAAGTGTCCCATGAAACTTGGCTTACAGTGACTCACAGACACTCACAGATACCCACTCCGGGAGCAGTACCACGTCACTCAAACGCTGCCGAATGTGCGTCTGTCTCCCGTGAGCGGCAGGGGCAGGTTTCTGATGCTTCCTCACTGGCTCTGGCTTCTGCGCTGATGTTTCTGGGACGTATGCACCTGTCTCACCCTAACACCAGGTTTACACCATCTCCTGCAGTCTGCTTACTTCAAACATATCCTTTCAACTCTATTACACTCTTTCTCCTTTAATCTGTTCATGTGTAAAACAGCATAATTTGACTACCGTTTGAAAATTTCTGTCCTTGTTCAGGGCGTAACATTATGTTATGATTTGTAAGAAAATGTTCGTTAAGAATCCCCATCCTCCGTAAATACCCAAAATGACACGGTTCAGAGGCCTCCCTCCTTCTCCGGTTGGTGACCACACAGAAATTGGGGAGAATAGTGGCTGATGAGAGTGTGCAAGCTCGGTGTTCCTTCCCTACCCCTTGCCTTAATGCATGTGTGTTGTGCAATCTATCCTTTACAACAGACGGGTAATGTCGTTGGTAACTGTGTTCCCTGAGAGGGAGGGGGTCAGGACCTCCCACCTTTAAGCACAAGTGACAACCTGGACTTTCGAGAGGCATCTCCTGTGGGGGGGGGAGCTGTCCCGTAGACCGAGCCAGTCCTTAACCTGTGCAATCTCATACCCGGACTTAGAATTTGTACAACACTAGCTGGTACCCCAGCTAGTGTTCCTTGGTGCTGAGGATAATACCGTCTCCTACGTCTTGGAATTGGGTCACAAAACGAAAGAGCTGGCACCAGAAGAGTGATTAGCAAGGCTGGCAATTGCTCACAGAAAGATGTGACTGAGGAAGAGAAAGGGTACTGGGTAAGGGCCGTGGAGAGCTGGTGGTGTCCATGGTCAGCTGTGGTGTGGTGCAGCAATTATATTACCCTGCCTTTACTAAGGCAAAAAGACCATAGGAATTTAGAGATAGAGGCAACCTTTGGCGAGTTGGTTGACTTGTTGCAAAAAGGAAGGTAAATGGCCAAATGGTGAATACACTGGTTATTAGCTATAAAAAGCTAAATTACGTGTGAAAGGCCATGCTGTGTTGGGCCTTGGCCAGATCATGTCCTGTTTTGGTCAGCTCAGGCCTGGAGCTGGTGGGGGAGTTGACTAAAACTGTGCCACCCCCAAAATGTCTTTTTGGCATGAGGTTTTAATTTCATAGGAGGTGCTCTGAAAGTTGGGTAAAGGCTGCTTTTGAAATTGAACTCCTGTGAAATGATTTCACACAGGAAAACCTGTGCCTTGAAAAGGCAGAATTTAGAGCTATAATTTGTTTGTTTTCCTAATAAACTGACGAAATGAATTTCCTTTTTGTCCCCGCAAACTACAGTCTCCCTTAGCTAAGTTATTCAAGATGGGGTCTAAAGCCGCTGGGCAGTTGAGTCATGCAGGATCTAGTTCACGTACACAGGAGGCATGCATGTCATCACGCATCTTTTTGGCCTGCCCAGAAGACCCTGTGGGACATGGGATTATTTCCTTGATGCGTCAACAGCCTCAAAGTTATCCCATAAGGTGGAAATTGAACAGGGACAACAGAAGTGCTGTAGCTGCTCTAGTCACTAAGAAAATAGTGAACAGTAAGGAAAATAAAACTGGAAACCTTTTAAAACTAGGGGGCTTAGTGAGAGAGAGTTTCACTTTGTGAACCTGTTAGTAACATGTCCGAGGAAACCAGTGTTCATGAGTGAATTAGAGTCACACAGGCCCTGTCTCTGAGTGCCGCAGAGGGAAGAGTGTGTTTGGCTGGTGCAAGGCCCACCACTCACTGCAGAACCACCACAGGTGGCTGCGTGCCATCCAGAGCCTTGGGGGTGCTCACCGAGGAACAGCTAGACTGGGGGATGGGCTGAGCCACCGTGAGGTCTGAGCTCCTGAGGGAGGAGCTGGCTTTGGGATGCCAGGGACAGTCACCTACTGAATATGCCTGCTGCGGGGAAGGCTGTGGCAAAGTGGGCCCTTCTCCCATGGGCACCCCAGATAACCTGATCATCACAAACCTGAAAAACAAGTTAGGAAGCTAATCAGAATTTGTTGTTTAAGTTTCCCAACAGGGCTCTTATAGGTGGTGACATGAATAACAGTTGAATCCAGAGAATGGGAAAAGGCTAAGGGGACAGGCAAAGGTATCTTCTGTACAAGATGGAAATTTTAAAATGGTTAATAAGAAATTAGGTAAATATAAGTTTTGACAAGAATGAAGCAAACAGGAAAATGAAATGGGAGTACAGCAGGACTGGCCCCACAAGACGAAACTGTCTTGACAGTTACTAAGAAATAGAATGGGTAATAATGGGATTACGACAAAATTTTAACACAGCATTACCCAAGGCTGAGAGTGCCTATGTGTCTTTCTGCTGTTGGTGTCACATCACAGTGACTCCATTCAGTCCATTTTACTCCTTTGGAGAAATTTTGAAAGTCGGAAGCTGGAGATCACAGTAAGAAACTTGACTAGCAACCACTTGGGGCAGTAATTTACCACCTCAGTCAAGGTAAAGTGGGGTGGAGGACCAACCGAGGTTCCTTGGCCGTACCCCTGACAGGAGACATCAGGTGTGGAGAGTATTAGTTCCCAGGACTCCATGATATAAGAAGCCCCTGGGCTGTGGTACTAAAGCCACTGGGAGATAAAGTTGTGGCTCCTTTATCTCAGTTTTATGAGAGAGGGTATCACATGAGAACACTCTCCCAGCCTATATCATAAAACAAATCCTACTGAAGGAGTTGATAGAGACCAAGGTATGAGCCTAAGCGTCAATGAGATGACTGTAGATGTCTGGGGATAGGTAATGTGTGTCACTGGGGACCATTTCTCCTATGTGGTAATGTACAGCACAGGCCCACCCTCGCCCTTGAAGTGGCATCACGTGTCTGCCTCAGACAGCCTCACCGCCGCAGCAAGCGCATTAACAGGACTGCTGGTAAGTACCAGCCTCTGTGCCACCCCCTCTGCGGTGAGTGATGGGGTTTGCCACAAAGACAGCGAAAGGTAGAGAGGCTGATGGGGAGAGAGATAACAGGAGAGACTGTAAGACAGGTGACAGAGATAGGCACATAGACCAGATGACGGGACACAGATTGAAATGACACACACACGAGAGAGGACGACAGTAAAACAGACGGGATCGAAGACATACACCACGGCAGATTTAGATGGAAGAGAATGAAGCAAGACAGATGAGACGGGGAGAGAGAGGGATGGACAGTGAGAGATAAGAGGAGAGAGTGAGACAAGATGAGAGACAGGAAGAGAGAAACGAGACAGCAAGAGATAGAGATCAGAAGAGACAGTGACTAATACAAGACAGGGAAGACGAGAGACAGCGAGGAGAGATGGAGATGAGACAGCTACAGAAAAGAGACGAGAAGAACGAGAGAAGAAAAGACAAATAGGAGACAGAGATGAGACAGCAAGATAGACACGACAGAGACGAGACAGGGAGAAAGAGGAGAAGGGACAGGATGGAGAGACGGGAGAGATGATGACGAAAGAGAGGAGACAGATGACCTCGAGATGGAAAGGCGACAGAGATAGGAAGGAGATAGGAGAGAAGAGAAAGACAGGAGAGAGTAGAGACATTAGTAGAGACTAGAGAGAGAGAGCAGAGATGAGACACAGGAGAGTGAGGGAGCATAGAGAGAGAGAGGAGAGAGACAGACGAGAGATGGAAAGACAGGAGAGAGTGGAGAGACAGGGACAGGAGAGAGACAGAGACAGGAGAGAGACGAGAGAGAGAGACAGGAGAGAAGAGAGAAAGGAGTGAAGAGACAGGAGAGAGACAGACGAGAGACAGGAGTGAGGAGAGAGACAGACAGGAGAGGAGAGAGAAGACGAGAGAGACAGGAGAGAAGAGAGGAGAGAGACAGACGAGAGACAGAGACAGGAGAGGAGTGAGGAGAGAGAAGAGGAGAGAGACAGGAGAAAGTCGAGAGATGGAGTGAGGAGACGAGAGAGACAGGAGTGAGGAGAGAGATGGAGACAGGAGAGGAGAGGAGTGAGACAGGTGAGAGAAAGGAGTGAGGAGAGAGACAGAGACAGGAGGAGAGAGACAGGAGAGAGATGGAGAGAGACAGGAGAGAAGAGAGGAGTGAGACAGGTGAGAGACATGAAAGGAGAGAGACAGGAGAGAGACAGACGAGAGACGGAGAAACAGAGGAGAGAGACAGAGATAGGAGAGGAGTGAGGAGAGAGACAGGAGAAGAGAGACAGGAGAGAAGAGAGGAGAGAGACAGACGAGAGACGGAGAGAGACAGGAGAGAAGAAGAGACGGAGAGACAGGAGAGGAGAGAAAGGAGTGAAGAGAGGAGAGAGACAGAGACAGGAGAGAAGAGAGAGACAGGAGAGAGTTGAGATTCAGGAGAGAGAGAGAGACGGAGACAGGAGGAGAGAGAGGGAGTGACAGACGAGAGACGGAGAGACAGAGACAGGAGAGAAGAGAGACAGACTGGAGAGTGAGGAGAGGAGAGAGACGGAGTGAGGAGAGAGACAGAGACAGGAGGAGAGAGACAGACGAGAGA